TTACCTGGTTAATAAAGAATTACTAAAAAATAAATACCTGATTAGTAAAATCTTGGATCTATTTGGAACATGTTTCTTCTGATTATTTGATCTATTATAGTAAAATTCATGTCTTTAAGGGAGATGAAAACTTTAATAGATGAAGTACAACAAGAGCAAGCAAGCCTCCCATTGTACTCAGATAGACTCATTGTCTAAATTTCAGATGTAAGCTCAGAAAAATTTTAACACCTTCCCCTCCCCGTAACTATTTTTCCAGTCCCTTCAAGTCCAAGTTACAGAAATGGGAAAAACTACACTTGGACATTATTGCAATTGTGCTATATTAAATTTCAATGTATAACAATTTTACAGTTCTTATAGGGGTAACCATTTACACCAAAGAATCAAAATTAAATAACCTAGATTAAGCAAATGAGATGATAGACCCTGAACCAAGTCAGTTAAGTACAGCAGCCTGTACCAACCTGAAGCGTTTCAGAAATGTTAAGAATTGTTATTTGTTTAGGATGAAAGGAGCAGAAGAGCGCTTGCCATGCACACTCATTTTCATAGCAAATTCTCTTGCTACAAATACTGATAATGCTATAAAAATGATCAAGGAAGTAAATACCATTTTCTTTTCTAGACAGCTGGATGATAATTCCCTGATGAAAGTTTACAGAACAGCTGCTGTGCCTCAAGGCAATTATTTATGGTATTTTGCAGAACAGCATCATAATCTCATCCTGATTAATATTCTAATGAAAATACTGAGTGAAATGTTGCTGTTCTCAAAGGAGATCAAAATTCTGAAGTATGTCAGAGAACCAGATTTAATTTTTTTCTTGACTATCTTATGGGAGCAAAAAAGTCAGATTCCAGCAGGCTCAGGACACGGAAAGCTTAAATGTGGTAGTTGCAAACAGACACCAACCTGCTTTACTTTATTAAAATCTATCATACAAGGAACCAAGTTGAAACAGTTATAGCTACCTACCACTAACATAATTTTTCCATAGTGGTTTAGGTTCCAATAAAAGGGCCCAGACACACCCCAGAGAAATTATGATATTGGCAACTGCAATCACTCTGTTCAGATGAAATGCTGTTTCATCTTCCTTGACACACAATGCAGTGTTGTCACACACTTTGTTACATCTGAATCAGGAATACCCAAATGTGTTGCATAGGGTGACCTCAAGCCTGATACTACATGGAGTTCACCTTGGGGGATGATGTTTGGGAGCCCTGAATTCAAGCATCTGACACCTCCAATCCAAATATAACTTTTCATCAGCCCCCAGAATCACTTATAAGAATCCAAGTGCTGTTGGCTGTGGATTGAATACAACAGGCCTCTAATTGGATGCAATTAGGTATATTTTCTTTCTGTAGAGGAAAAAAGATAACATACTAAATGAATTTAATTATAAGATAAGCCAAGAACACTGAAAATTTTTGACTGGAATAAACTCAGCAAAATGATTCCTTTTGTCTATTTTCCCCATTGTTTTTCTTTTTTTTTATTTTATATTTGAGGATATAGTATGACTGGACTACATTTTTCACTCTTTAGATTTTTTTAATATATGTAATGACAGCAGTTCATGCAGATAAGAAAAAAAGAACATAAAAGCATAGTGTAAGATTATATACAATAATATAATAATGCACAATTTATAGAAATAGAATTAATTTAGATCTTTTGACAAGTGAAATGGTAATGTTAACAACAAATCATAATGGGAAGTGAAGAAAAGATTGTTAATGAAATAAGTAATGGAATGTCTAAAAGTGAAACAGTCTAAAACAGGGCTTTTCAACCTTTTCACCATTGTGCCACTTTTAGGATATGGCAACATCTGAGTACCACCAGTCGCCTAGGTGTCAAATACTTGATGACCCAAAAAAAAAGGAAAAAAGTGATGAAGTACAGGTAGTCCTCGACTTACAACAGTTCGCTTAGTGACTGTTCAAAGTTACAATGGCACTGAAAAAAGTGCCCCCCCCCAAGCCACAGCCGAGCAAGATACCTGCCTGCCCGCCCGGCCGCACTCTTCCTCCTGTCCGAGGTTTTCATTGTTGTGAGCATTTCTGTTGAGGATTGGCAGCAGGAATAGGGTAGGGGGGTGTTAGATTTTTATTCTCCCTCCCTCTGCTGGGTGGTTGCAGCAGGTTTTGGTCACTTCACATAATCCTGGGACACTGTGACCGTCATAAATATGAATCAGTTGCCAAGCATCTGAATGTAAATCACAAAACCCTGGAGATGCTGCAACATTCCAGTTGATCGACGCTTCTTGTCGGCTCAGCAGAAGTGCCAGGATCAGTGCTGCTTTCCAGATGATTGGTGCTTCTTCAGGATTCAGCAGAAGCACCAGGATCAGCGCCGAGCTCCAGCTGGAGCCTGGCGTTGATCCTGGTGCTTCCCCTGAGCCCTGACAGCCCTGCAGCTCCAACTATCTCTTGCTCAGGTTTGTGTGGTGCTGCCACCAGTTCTGCTCATTCCCCTCCCCCGCTACCACTTTTCTAGGATGGTCGCATACCACCTGTCAGGTGCCAATGTACCACAGGTGGTACCCGTACCACTGGTTGAAAAGCCCTGGTCTAGAAAACCTGATAATGAAAGTAAAGGAAGATGAGAAAAATGAGGGGAAAAAATGAAGGAGTAATGAACAGCATTGTGGGCCACAGACACAAATTAACTAGTTAAATAGATTGGATTAAAGAAATTCCCTTTCTTTCACAGGAGCATCCATTCAGTATTCACTTTTTTGGGGGGAAAAGAACGTATGAATCCAATTCATTATAGAAATTTAACATAAAATCAGGAGGTATCCCAAAGTAGTAGAAAAAAGACAGCAGAATGTTGAGTACTAAGACTTTTTATGCTTAGTTACCATTAAAATGGTACAGCTTTTAAAATAAACTATTTTGCTTCTTTTGTCAAAACAAAGTAATAGAACTTAGAAATAGATGACCAGAAGAATTGTTAAATATGAACTTAATCAAGTAATTGGATTAATAGTTGGGGGCAATATGCTGACACTGTAAACTGCTCAGAATGCTGTAATGCACTATGAGGCAGTATATAAGTCTAAGTGCTATTGCTATAAAAGACAAGTAAATTTGTGGCTATAACTTGTATCCTGATTCAACAGTTCACAAAACCTATTAAATTATATTGGAGTTGAATGTTATCACATAAATAGATAAACTAATATGTACTAAAATGTACTAGAATAGAACTAGATGTTTAATATCATGAGACAATTGAAGCTGACAAATTATTCACAAAGGAAGTAAGAATACTGTAAATACATTATCTCCCCATTGTTATCCAATAATCTGGAAGCAAATGCCAGTAATGGCCATTTTCCCTGCCCATGTAGATTCCTTAAGTGGTTTAAAATTCATGACATTAAAAAACTTTTTCCAATGGAACCAACTCTGCATCCTTTCACTGCAGGATTTTTAATCCACTTTTTAACCTGTTATTTGGTATAATTCTATATAAGTTGCATATTAGAATTGGAGGTAAGTATGTTGTTTGGTCCTATGTTTTATTTTTATTTTGTTTTTTTAGATGTATTGATTGTAATTGTACAGCAGCCATTATATTTTAATGTAATGTTGAATTAGGAAGGAGGGAGGGAGGGAAGGAAGGAAGGAGTAAAAAGATCTGAAGCATGTTCTTGAACAAAGAAGATTCACAGCAACTACAAGTCCTCTTGTAAAACTTACTTTATGTTAATTGTCAGTTTATAACAATAAGGTTGAGAAGAGTCTCAGGTTTTACTGATTAATATCCAAAGATCCCTGTGTAATTTACTCATTTTCAAAACACAGTGTTATGATCCGTATAGTATTTATTATTTATTCATGTACCCCAAATGGTAACGAAGAGAATGTACCAAAGCCCTAACATAAAAATAGTTTTTTTACTTACTACTTAGTTATTATTCTTAATTAATAATTACACTTTGATATTATCTAGAGAGACATTTCGAGATCACAGAGTGAATAACCTGGCCTAGAACTATTAAATCAGAAGAAAGAATAGCCTGATAATCCCATCCTCTTCCCTTGAAATGATACTGAAAAATCAATTCTACAGCATAAAACTGCCTCACTCTGCTCTACAACAGAATTTCTCAACTTTGGTAACTTTAAGACTCAGCTTCCAAAATTTCCAGCAGCTCAAAAGTAAAGAAATATTAGCCTGATCTGGATTCAGGTCTTCACACATGCAAAGCAACTTAATCTTCCCCTGCCCTCCATGCCCCTTGTTTCAAAATAATTGTATTTCTCTTTCATATGCATAGAAAGTGTTTTAAACTCTTCCCTGGACAAGATTATAGATCTGGAGAACAGTTTCTTGAGGTTTAATGCATCACCAAATTTAAGAAAAATCTATGTTGTGGTTCTGTAAATTTATGTTCTAATCTATTGGATTTTCTGCTAAGAAAAAAAATACATCCTCATTAACTTTCCAATTCCCCTTTCAGTTTTAATTAACTGATTTCAGTTACCATAGCAGGATGAGAAAGGGCTGGAAGACAGAGCAGCACTAAAGACATTTGTTTAGATCACCCACAACAATCTTACATGCTACTATAAAGAGATGTAAGTGATCTTCTAGATGAGTTGATGGTTTATCACTCCAGAAACACAGCAAGGCCTGACAGCTTCCTCTAGGAGCAGCACTAAAAGGAGAATCAAAATGGATGGGAGCTTCTGGGAGCTTCTTCTATTGGTTTTCCTCTATTCTTTGCTCAGGAAAGGACAGGAATATAAACTCAAATCTGCCTAACAAAGACGAAGGAATATACAGTGCTCCTAAACTACTACAAATTTATCCTTTCTTAAATATCTCTATGGGGAAAAAGCACATTTCCATATTTTGTAAGAGTTTATGGAGCCAAGAGAATCTTCGCTTGTCATTATTTGGGCCTGGGCCCTCTTCAGGACAGAAATTCTAAAAGCCTTTTCAACCTGGAAAGGGGCGTTGGTCTTACCTGAACGCCTTTTCTCAGCGTGATGATGGAGAATCCACCAAGGGGTTAACTTCGTCTTCTGCCCATAGACTAGTCGTCAAATTTTGCTCCGCCTCTCCTCCTGGGACCTCCCTGCCCCAGTCTCGACGAGGCGAAAGCTAGTTGGCTATGTTTTCTTGTGTTGACTCCATCCTCTCCCCTTATAGGATCTGACTGGCCTCAAGGGTGGGCGTGGATTCTCCACTGTCACACTGAGAAAAGGCGTTCAGGTAAGACCAACGCCCCTTCTCCAGCATGACAAGTGGAGAATCCACCAATGGGACATACCAAAGCCTCACTGTCCTTGTGGGTGGGATGCCATCTAGGCCTGTGTCCCACTCTCTGATACTATGCACTGGAGTACTCCCCTGCCAAAGGAGGCCTCCGCAGATGCGAATCTGTCTAATTTGTAGTGTCTTATAAAAGAGGAAGGCGACGTCCACGTCGCCGCTCTAATATTTCTTCAATCAAAGCCCGAGTTGCCCATGCTGCTGAGGTTGCAGCACTGCACGTGGAATGTGCAGTGATTCATCTGGGGACCATCAAGGACTGTCCTCTGTATACCTCCGCTATACACCTTTTAATCCATCTACCGATTGTGGATGCAGTGACTCTCCGACCTCTTGTGTGAGAATGGAAGGAGACAAACAGTGCTTCTGATCTACGGAAGGGTGCCGTTCGCTTGATGTACTGCTTTAAACTCTGCGAATGTCTAAGGTGTGCCACTTGCGCTCCAGTTCATGGGACGGTTTGGGGCAAACGTTTGATAGCATCACCTCCTGTGCTCTGTGAAATAGGGAATTGACCTTTGGAACGAAGGAAGGTCCAAATGTAACACCACCCTGTCCGTGTGGAAGATACAAAGGTCCTCCCTCACTGACAGGGCTGCTAGTTCTGAGATGCGTCTTGCTGAGGTAACAGCGACTAAGAAGGGGACCTTAAGGGTCAGGTACAGTAGGTCACAGGTCCTGGCAGGCTCAAATGGAGGTAAGGTTATGGCCTGTAGGACCTTAGGTAGATCCCAGGAAGGGTATCTGTGTACCACAGGTGGCCTACTGTCCTACACAGGAAGTCTACCTGGCAATTGGCTTCTCCTGAGATGTGCTCGGCCTTGATGGAGGCTAGGTTATTTTCTGCCCAGGTTCCCAGCGCTTGTGCTTTGTTCATGAGGGTCCTGGATCGCGTGCCTCATCGGTTGACATGCGCTTTGGCCGCCACGTTGTCCATGAGTATGAGCACATATTGATGCGCCACTGTGCTGTGGAAGTGATGGAGGGCCAGGTGTATGGCTCTGAATTCTAGGCAATTTATTTTGTGCTTTAGATCTTTCTTTGACTATTGACCCTGTACTAGCTGTGATTACAGGTACGCTCCCCAGCCGAATAGGCTGGCATCCGTTGTAAGGGTGACTCAGTTGGCTTCCCTGAACAAGTGTCCCTTCCCCATTTCTGGGGAGGACCACCACTGGAGCGACCTCAGGACCTTTGGTGGCACCTTCACTCTTCGGTTTGAGGAGCCTATCTCCATTCTTTGAAACGGAAGTAGGAACCACTGGAGCTCTCTGGAGTGTAGCCTTGCCCAAGGTACGATTGTGAGGCATGACAACATCTTTCCTAACAGCTGTGAGAGTGTAGCCAGTGTTGAGGACCATTTCCTTTGGATGAGTCTGACCAGAGTTTGAATGCTGCATTGACGGTCCTGAGAGAGATGGACCGTGCACTTTTGTGTGTCTATGACAACTCCCAGATGAAGAAGATGGTTTGAGGGCACGACTCTTCTGAAAATTTACTGAGAATCCGTGGTCTTGAAGGGTTTTCAGAGTCAGTGCCAAGTCTGACTGTGCTGTCTGGACCAATGAGGATTGGATGAGAATGTTGTCCAGATAGCATTGGATGCACACCGGATTGTTCTCAAGTGTGCGGCGGTTGTTGCCAACACCTGGGAGCTGAAGAAAGTCCAAAAGGTAGGGCCCTGTATTGGAAGTGTTGACCCGTGTGGTAGAACCTGAGGAACCTCTGGTCATCCAGAAGTATGGGAATGTGAAGGTAGGCCTCCATCAGATCTATGGACGTCAGAAGGTCCCCCTTCCTGATGCTTGCTAATATCGAGTGAAGGGTTTGCATTTTGAATTTTTTGTACTTCAGGTGTCTGTTCAGACTCTTTAGGTCTAGTATTGCTCTCCACCTCCCTGAATTCTTTGGGATTATGAATAGGATGGAATAGAATCCTTGTCCTCACTGATCTCTTTCTACCGGTTCTATAGCCTGAATGTCCAGGAAGTGTTGGATGGCCTCCTTGGTGAGGTTCTTCTTAATCAGATCTTTTGGAGATGGGCAAGGAATGAACTGGTTCGGGGGTGTTGAGAGGAATTCTAGGGATAGGCCGAATCTGATGGTATTTAGGACCCAGAGGTCAATGGTGGTAGCTTGCCATTTGTGAGCAAAAAGGGCTAGCTGGCCACCAATGAGGGGGCCCTCGGGCTGTCACTTGGATCTGCAGTAAGGACGCCCCCTGGTTCCTCGAAAGGGCCGCCTTGCTTGGGCCTGTTGTCTGAACCTGTCCCTGTTATTGTTTCTCTTACCTTGACGGTCCGATCTGGGCTGATAGGGAAGGGAAAAGGTCCCCTTATCCATGCCTGCATCAGGTCGGAAGGCCGATCTGCAGGAATAGGAGGGAGCTCCCCGCTCTGTCCTCTTTGTCAGGTGGGCCAGGGATCTTGCGTTTGTCAATTAGATAAGGGTCAAGCACCTCGCCAAAGAGCTGGCCGCCCTTATAGGATGCCGCCACTAAACGCCACTTAGCTTTCATGTCCGCTCTCCAATGCTTGAGCCACAGCAATCTGCATGCACCAGTGTTGTACGCTATTGCTCTGGCAGAGAAATTGGTTGTGTGTAAGGAGGAATCCGACATGAGCTCCACTGCCGCCACTAATCTTTTTAAATTCTGGTGAGTTTTCTCTTCCACTGGGAGAATACTCGACTGGAGTTGGCGCAGCCAAAGAAGAGATGTCCTGGTGAAAAAGGACGTAGTGATGCTTGCCTTGATTGCCCAGGCTGAGGCCTGGTGTGCCCTGCAGAAGATTAGGTCCATCTTCTTTTCTTTTTTTTTTATTGAAAATTTTAAAGTTTTTACAAATAAGAAAGAAAAAAAAAGACAAAAAACAAAAAACAACCCTAACCCACCCACCCCAACCCTCCTTTTCTTTTGATTTCATGGCCTCCGCTGCATCCCCAGCTATCGGGGGTGGAGAAAAGAGGGTTACAATGGGTTCATCTATTATTGGCACTTCTATTATCTCTGATAGTGCCAGATCTATGTTGAATATTTTCTTGTCTGCCCCCCCATTGGGAGGAAGGAACCCAGTGCCCCCATGTTGTTCTGAACAGAATCAAAGAAGAGAGGTGGGCAGGGAACAAATTGTTGGGTATAGGTGGGCTGTGAAAACACTTCGTTGTTTGTGACCTTACTAGTTGAGGGATTGGTGGATGTTCCTTTCTGCGGAATTGGGGGCCTCTGAATATTTGCAGTGCCACTGGCATTATGTAGCAGCATCTTGAATAAGGATGGATTAAACAAGCCTACAACGGAGGAGGATCTGGAGATACATCCTCTTCGTTGGACAATCTCTGATCCGTCAGCTCATGGTCCTCCGCAGGAGACCTCCTGCCTCTGGAGGACCTAGAGGAGAAAATAGAGTCTTGGTACACAGAGGCCTCCTCTTGAGAAAAATGGGAGCCGCTCCTAGAGGCCACAGACCTTGTTCTGGTGTCTTGAGGAGGCCATGGCCTGTGCAACAGCCTGAGATATCAGGGATTGAAGGTGTTCTGAAGACATTGCTCCATGATTATCTGAGCGACGGATGCCTGCTTCTGAACCCAGATCTCCAGGCCCCTCACTTAGGGTAGAGCTGTTCCTCTGTTCCGCATCAGACTGTTTCCAGAGGTTCCTGGCTGGGCTTCCTTGTGCCAAAAATGTCCTCCTCCCTGTAATTGGGTGGCTCTAATTCATCTTCAGTGGAGTTTGCCTCCTTTTGGCTCGGGAGAGTTGTCTCTCTAGAGCCTGGTGATGTCACTTAGCCCCCTATCCACTGCTTTGGAAGACCTTTTGGCCAATATTGCCTTGGCCTTGATCTTCCCAGCCACCTCCTGCTTGGATGATCTCTGTCTTTTATGAGCAGGGGGACTGGTGGTGGCAGGGTCCTGTGCTGTTTGAACTGTGCTGGTATCTGCCATTCTTAACTGGAATGATTTACAATTCCAATCTGGTTCAGGGTAATTGTGAGTTGATCTATGTCTTGTGCTCTTCAATTATTACTATTACTATTATTATTTTATCTTATTTTTTAATTATTATTATTTTTATTTTCTTATTTTTTTAAATTTTTATTTTTTATTGTTATTATTCCTATGTGGCTAGGAAGAAGGACTGAGCTTGGGTGAAGTTGAGGTTGTTATTGGCTGAACTCGATCTCTCTCGTGCCTCCCTCAGCTGGATTTCCTGGAGTCTGCCCAAGAAAAAACAACTGTACTTGTATTCAGTGGAATATGGTCAGCGTGAATTGCAAGGAAGCCAAGGAGCCACAGGGAAACTCCAGGAGGGAGCTGCGGAGTCTAAAAGCCCTCTGCCAATCAGCTAATCCCCAGCTTCAGGCAATGGAAACAGCAGGAGCCTTGGAGCTCTTTAGCTGATTTAGGCTAAGAGCTGTGATATTCTTCTGCAGCTCACCAGCTTCGCGTGTGTCCTATTGTTCCCACGCGGCTCTCCAGCTTCCGTATGATCCATGGGAAGTTTAAATTGCCCACTGATCAGCTGTGCTAATGAATTCCGAATTTACTTCGGCTATCCTGGCTAGCCCTGTGGGAGGATTGTGTTGGGGGGGGGAAGGAGATTGTCTCTCTTTGTTCAGGGTCACACTTGGTGATTGGAAAATGGCGTCCGGTTCCTTGTTTGTCCGGCGATCCGCTGGGCTCAGGCCAGCCTCATGGTTGAGCTGTGATCTGGCAGCAGAAAGGGCTCAAACGAACAGCCGTTCGTTCTTTGCAGTTCTGCCCCCCTTGGATTGACCAAAATATCAGAAATATACGACCTTAAAGAAGAATCACTTCAGGAGTCAAGAATTCAGTCTAGTCGGGCTCAAGACTAGTCGAGACTGGGACAGGAAGGTCCCAGGAGGAGAGGCGGAGCAAAATTGGACGACTAATCTACAGGAAGAAGACGAAGTTAATCCATTGGTGGATTCTCCACTTGTCACGCTGGAGAATCTGATGCTGCTCACATGATAGGAATGGTCTCAGCAATCTCTTTTCAGCTTTCCTGCTGACATGTTTCCACTGAATACATTTCATCTTTTCTCTCACACACAATCATGAAAGGCAAAGACATACAGATTAAATGGCTTGCCTGCTCCCCACCACTCAAATCATTACTCATAAGTCATTTCTTTCAGGAATTAAACCATCTTCCAGCACACTTGCAAGTTAATTATTTATAACTGTAACATATCCTTCACTACCAAATGGCAAAAGCTTTCCTCCTTAAATTAGTTGCTGTTCTGTCCTCCTCTATTTACAATAAAAATTACTGGGGAGCTGTGCATCCTTCTATTCATATCCCTGAACTTAAACAGAAATCAATCAAAGCCCATCTGCATTTCCAACCTTCATCAACTTGGAGTAACAGCATTACCATCCATTCAAGCAGAACAAAGCTGCCTTTCTTGTATGAATGAAAATGAAAAGCTATAAGGGCATCTCAGAAAATTGCCTAGGCCAGGAGTTTTCAAACTTTGCAATGCCACAGTCCCCTAAAATGATACATTCATTTGTGCAATATCACCAACCATTAATAAAACTAATGAGTAAAAGATAAACAGTTTACTTTTAAAAATTAATGTTTAAACTAAGTATTTAATAAAACAATGATACAACTTTACAACTTATTAAAATAAAATATAAATTTAAAACAAATTTAAATCCACATTTTAATGAAAAAGCATAAGCTTGTTTACTTTTTCATAATCCCTGAAATTTGTTACATTTTTTAAATGGACACTCTCACTTTTCTCTCCATATTTACTTCGAATAAATTTTTACTCTTTATAGCAACAACTGAACAAAACACAACTCACAGTGTTGTGAGTTTATCAGTGCTTCTAAAAGATTCTTTAAGTTTTGTCATATATTTGAATAAAAATCTTTTATTTAAAAGTTGCTTTCTATATCAAACATATATATTCAATGCTTATTAGTATCTCACAATCAAATTGGAGGCAGGTGGAAAAGATAGTGCCAAAAGAATCAATGATGACTTCTTTTTAATCAATTGATCATGCTTAGATTACATGGATAATGAGGTGGAAGGAATGCATATAAAATTTAAAAAGAATCCAAAATTATAAGGATAGTTAATATCACTGAAATAAAATTAAAAATTACCTTTATAGGTTAAAGGAATTGGCTAAAAATAATTAATTTAACAGGGACAAATTCAATGTTATTCATGCATTATGTATTTTTGGCTGCGCCAACAGAAACATAGTTTCCAAATCATGGGAAATAATTGTTCAAGTTTAACCTGCTTTGGACAGATTCTACAACAAACTGGTGTGTACTTCTGAGAATTATACTTTAAGAAGAAACTGGAACACTTTCCGAGAATGACAATACAGGTAGTCCTCAACTTACAAAAGTTCATTTATTCATTTAGTGACCATTCAAAGTTACAATGGCACTGAAAAAAGTGACTTATGACCATTTTTCACACTTATGACTGTTGTAGCATCCCCATACTCATTTGATCAAAATTCAGATGCTTGGCAAGTGGTTCATATTTATGACAATTGCAGTGTCTTGGGGTCATGTTATTGGCTTGTGTAACCTTCTGACAAGCAAAGTCAATGGGGAAGCCAGAATCATTTAACAACCATGTTACTAACTTAACAAATGCAATGATTCACTTAACAACTGTGACAAGAAAAGTTGTAAAATGAGGCAAACTCACTTAACAAATGTTTCACTTAGCAACATAAATTTTGGGCTCAATTGTTGTCCTATCTCAAGGACTACCTGTACAGATTTTTGGGCACAGAATCTAAGTTCTATCAAGAGAGATGAAAAGAACTTGGAATGCTTCATCTTGTGAAGAAAAGAAAAATGACAGGAAAACATCTTCATTTACCTAACAAAATATTACAGATCAAGTCTCATTCCCTATTAATCCACAATACAAGACATATAATAATTGATTTAAATTATAAGAAAAATGATTCTAAATGAATGTTAGAAGAAGCTCCTAACATTAAGAGCAATCTGACATTGGAATCAAATGTCCAGAGAAAATTGAGTTCTTCTTCATGACTGTATTCATCGGGGAGACAGGCAATATTTTGATGAAGGTATTATAACAGAAAGTTATTCAATAATCTAAAATGCCATTTCCTATTCTATCATTCTAAGCCAACTATACAGGCAATAGAGTACAAGGAACCCAATTTTCAATAAGAGTGTGGTGTGAATGACCCTTCCTTCTATTGACACTATCTTCCCCATCCTAATTGGGTCACACCTACCTACAGGACCAAATAGTTTAGCTGTAAGCTTTATGGGAGGATGAGTTGCAGGAGAATGTGTGGCAATGAAATTATGTGATAGCAGAGGCTTCCTATGGTCAGCAAGCTCTGGGTGGCCGCACGTGCCTTACATGGTTTGAGATTACTATATCAGATTGACTGTCTTTGCAATAAATTATCATCAAATTACCATCTCTCTCTAATCCCAGCACTACCCTTGTATCTTTTTGAAGAGTAAACACCTGAGATTACTTGAAACATGCCAACAATCCTTATATTTAGGAGTTCATGACACTTATTTTATAACAACTTCACCAGCATCTATTTTGGAGAAAAGTGACTTATTTCTATAAATTCCATTGAGGGTTTGGGTTTTTTTTTAGTTTAGTACTGACTGGGAATGTCTTTACAAAGGTTTTGATGTGAGTTTTTCAGAACCTACTTAGAGATAATCTGCAGATGAATTTGGAATCTTCTGGACGTAAAAAACTGAAAGGTTGGTTAAATTTAAAGTGTCTAAAAACTTGGGCTCAGAAAGTGTATAAGTGTGTGGGGGAGGGGAGGAATGACCTTTCAAGTAACTATTTTCACAGATAGGTTTTCTTCATATCTTGGTGGTGGTTGAAATTTAGCTGATTGAGGTAACAGGAAAGGGAATCTTCTGCAGCTACACCAAAACTATAAAATGTTTGCCCTGGAAAAAGCATTTGCCCACTGCCTTCATCACTGAATAAAAGTATTTTTATTACTACAGTATTTTGTTACTTTAAGATTTGTAATGAGCTCATTCTGTGTATTAGTTCGGGTTTTATTTACATAATCATTACAAAGTTTCATTTTCTGAAATAACATGCAACATACTTTCTTATAGGTAACACTCTTGTGTGACTTACAGTAGATGCCTGAGTATTCCTATTGTGCTATCTGTTAAACCAGAGGTCTCCAACCTTTTGGGCACCAGGGACCAGTTCCGTGGAAAGAGTTTTTTTCCACGGACTGGGCAGCGTGTGGTTTTGTGTGCTACCTGCTTTCCACAGATGGGGCTTTGCTTGTTTGTGTGGACCTGTTGCTGGCATGCTCTGGCCCAGTACCGGTCCATGGACCGGAGGTTGGAGACTTCTTGTTAGACTTTGCCTAATTAACTATGTTTGCTCCATCTATCTATTTATCTTTATAAAACTACCTTTTAACATTTTTTAATGCTCTCAGGTTGTTTCAGTGGGGAAAATCTACAATATTGGAGGGCATTTTGATGTTTATGGATGACATCTTTATTTATAAATTTATTAAATGTTACTGGCTGCAATAGCCATTTGGTAACTATAAATAGAAATAATATACAAAATGACCATTGTTAGGTTAATATCTTTATGAAGGCTGTACCTTTTGACAGAAAACCACTGAGAGTTAAATAGTGCCAAATAGATCCTGGAAATGAATTGAAATTGTTATTTGGAAACTTGGAAGTCAGTTCGTAAGTGGACTTTGAATAGGTTCATAAACCCATCATAGCTAAGAGATAATTTTTGGCAATACTGTAACTGTTTCTAATATCTAGCTACAATTCATAAATCAGACAGATTTTGTATAAATTGAATTTGCAAAATACTTCAATAGCAGCTCCATATAATAGTAATCTAGATGTGATATATATATAGTAATATATTATTACAGAGAAATGTATTATTCATTTATTTAAATGTAGATTTAAAGAAAGCATGTGATGAAAACAGTAGAATTGAATTAGGCAATCAGCAATGTGAAGTTGATTGCAGAAGACAATCATAGTGGCATAAAATGGAAATAAAACATGAAAGTACAAACCATGCTTATAAAGTTGTTCAATCTTAAGAAGGAAGTAACACAATAATGTATGATGTCCCCTTAATTATATATTTGTGGACAAAGTATATGGAATGACAGCGGTAATAGTTTGAGAACAAAAGTGTATGCAGACTTTTTTCTATGAAGATGACATTGTATAGCAGATAACTGAATAGTTTGCAATGAATCTCAAGACAGATCACATGATGCAACAAAAAGTATGCACCTGAGAAATAATAAATGAAAGAACAAGCAGTTATGTTTTCAGGTAAAATGGATTGAATAAATTCAAACTATACATAGGTGGCAAAAAGCTAGAATAGACAGATAAATTAATAAAGCCTTATGGAGAGGTCAGTTCCATCCCTTCTTATTTTCCAGAAGTCCTTCATGACTTGGTTTGGTTATTAGGCCTGAAGTCTCAGGGGACTGGATGTTAGTATAAACTAGTTTTAGGTATGTTTCCTTAGCTGATGCTTTTAATTTCTTTGGTCTATTATATTTTTTTGCATTCTGCATAATGTCTGAAATAGAATAGGTAGGTTTTATAGGTATTTATGGAAGAAGTCTGGCTAGTCCATGATGAATGCATATCTCTGACCATGGCTATCAATGGAACATTCAGAATTAAAGCAAAGTCTTGATTTCTGTTACTGTACACTGTGACCCTGAGAGATCACAGATTTTACCAAGAGCTAATTTGGGCACTATAAAATTCTGAACCCTAAATATGAACAATCACACAATGACTAAATAGTCTAGGCTATTATTGCCCAGAGCCATTTGCTACGAGATGGGTGGCAAATAAATTCATAAATAATAATAAATAAGTAATTCATAAATTATTCATATTCATACACACACACACACACACACACACACACACACACACATATATATATATATATATATATATATATATATATATATATATATATATATATATATATTCTTACAAATAAGAAACTGAACATATTTGCCATTTGTAATTCAAGGACAATTTGACCAGGAGGTGGGGGAATTGATTATTATGCAATATCCAAGAGTACTTAACAAAATATGGTCACGCTCTGAGATCACCAGCAGTTTTTTCTCCAATGCTGCCTTCATCTCACTCTCCTTGCATATGAGTGAGACTTGCTTATGTTATTGTTCATTGTACTGATATTTAAAAAAAAAAAATTCTTGTTATACAGCTTCTAAGTGTATAAATTATATAATGCTTCACAAAACATTACTTTGGAAACAAAGGCAGATAATCAATAACAAATGTTATCAAAGATGTGTTTGAGAAGCACTGAGAGATATATG